AGAAAGGAAGAAGTTCAGAAGCCAACAGCAGCAGTAGCAACATAGCTTAAACTCCAGACAAATAAGAGTCTCAAAACATCTAGCTCAGGCTGCAGTAACTGAGGCAGGAATCCCAGACGAAAGAGAAATCTACAATTCTGCCGCTCTGAACCAGCAGAACTTTCCAGTCAACTGATAGCGATAGAATTCAGCAGAAGTCTACTCTTACACAGACCCAAAGTCCGGTCAGAAACTTTCAGAGCTCTAATGGGAGGTGGGCTGCAATAATAAACAGACTTTGACTTGCATCAGACCACTTTTGAACACTAAAAGCTTACAAGTCTCTTGCCTGCCTCTGAGATCTTGGAATAGCACAATACTCTGTACTCTAAGAAAGCAAATACAAGACCAGCCTAGATCTTCCCTTCAGAAATATGGCAGAGCCTAGCCCTAACATCAAATCCAAAATCAGGAAATGCACAAAGGAAAAAGAACTTATGTTATAATGAAGCTATTCTGGTGGTAAAAATTCTCAATACACAAATACAAAAGAAGAGAATGACTCCAAAACAGAAGCAGTGCATCAGAGGATAACACAGCTTGGGCATGGACTCAACTAGAATTCCAGCAAGAGATGAAGCAAATGTTTGAAAAAGAATTTTAAAATATTTCTCACAAATGTAATGAGAATGCCTGAGCTATGGAAGAAAGAAATGGAAAGGGAATTATTTGTTTGGCACAAGAGGTACAAAACAATGTCCAAGAAAAAACTGCCTAAAAATTAGAATGGACCAAAGAGAAGCCAATAATTTAATGAGGCAACAAGAAATATTAAAACAAAATCAGTGTAAAGTATCTCATAGCACAAACAACTTACATGTTTTATAAACAGATCAAAAAGATAAGGAGACGCAATGGCTATCATTCTTTAATATTTGAATCAGTTCATTATATGTCTTAAATATCAGAACTTTATTAGAGAGACTTACTGCAATGATCTCTCCCCCCCTCCCCCACCTTCCACCCATGGTTTAACTGGAGATGATAGGGATAGGGACTGAATTTTTAATTGGTAGAGTTATTGTATAAGTTCCCTTCATTAGTGCAGAGTCTTAGAGTTTTCTAGAGTACTGAAAAGTTAAATGACATTACACAGTATATATCAGAGTTGAGTCTTGAAACCAGGTCTTCCTGGTCCAAGGCTTGCGCTCTAGCTCCTATATAGTTGAGCTGTCTTTTAACTAAAATATAAACATATAAATTAGAAAGTGCATATTTTTATGTCTATAAGTTAAAATATGAAAGCTTTTTTCTTGATGGCAGTGATTATTTTTGTGAACACAGAATAGAAGATTTTAAAATATTCTTTTAAACCCTGGAGTTTTCATAGAATAAAACAGTAGGGTTAAATATGCTAATATGCTGTGGCCTACATACTGAAATAGGACTGATGAAATATTTTGGCTGCAGCATGTCTATGAATACTTAAAAGTTGTGTAACTCAGGAGATTTAAGGAAGATGGTGAGGGATTAATTTAAAGCATTTGGTCATAAGAGAATTACTTCTATCAAAATGTAAGATTAACATTTTGCTTTTCAAAAATAAAACATGTCTGTATCCCTTTGTATGAAATATATATTCCTTTTAAAATGAGGAAAGCTCAGTAGAATTTTAGCTTTATATTGTTGTTCTGTTTGTCCTCTGTTCTCAAAGAGGACTATGACATCAAGGAGATGATGACATGACTTGCAACTGACTTTGATTGGAGTGAGGGAGGGCTGTTCAAGGTCACCAGCCTCACTTTCTCTTCCAGAGCCATCTGGGTCCGGTGGTGAGATATAGATCAGGATGACTGGAGATAGCCCAGGATGCCGTGGGAGACCTTGACCTTTTTTAAGCTAAGGTCTTTTCAGGTTCTCACTTTGAGTAAGGTAACACCCATTCAGTGAATAGGTCTCTTTAAGAAGTGAGTCAAGTGAGTCAAGCTCCTTTAATTAAAAAAAAAAAATCAAACCAGATGGGGAAGACTCTCAGGGTTGCTGGCCAAAAGAGAAACAGTTACTATTTTCATTCACTCTGAGCAAAGAGGGCCCAAAAAAGAACCATGAAGTGGTGTTTGGGTAGAAACCTAGTGTTATCGTGCATATCTTTGACGCAGTGACACCACTGTCAGGCCTATGCCCCAAAAAGACAAATGAGGAAATGGTTATATATGTACAAACGTTTATATCAATTCTCACCTTTGGAAAGAAATAGTTGAAAATTAAGGAGGTGCCCCTCTTTGAGGAAATGACTGAACAAATTATGGGGTATGAATGTAAGCAAATATTCCTGTGCCATAAGAAATAATGAAGAGGACAGTTTCAAGAAAAACCTGTATATACCTATATGAACTGATACAGAGTGATGTGAGTAAAGCCAGGAGAACAATTTATAATATAATAACATTGTAAAAATGAACAATTTTGAAAGATGAGCACAATGATTAACAGAATGATGAAACATGATTCCAGAGGATGTAATGAAGAAAGGTACTTTCCTTCTGACATAAAGTAGGTAATAAGACTAAATATGCAGAATGATACATGTTTTAACTTGATCAGTATGAGAACTTGTTTTGCCTGATTATACATGTTTGTTATGATTTTTTTTTCCTGTTCAGAGAGAGGTGGAAAGGAGAGAAGATGATAAGTGCTTGTTAATTAAATTTTTTTAAAATGTTATATAAATTGTTATTTTGGTTCTGTTCACTTTATAATGCATCAGTCCATATAAGTCTTCTAGGTTTCTCTGAAACAGTTTCTTTTATCATGTTTAATGTACATAGTATTCCATTATACTTATACTGTAACTTGCTCAACCATTTCCCCAATTGGTGGTCACCCCCTTATTTTCCAGTTATTTGTCACTACAGAAAGAGCTGCTGTGAATATTTTTGTACATATGAGTCCTTATCCTTTTTCATTGATCTCTTGGGCATAGGTCCAGTAGTGGTATTGCTATGTCAAAGGTAAGTATGCTACCCAACCCTTCCATTGTGCTCTTTGGAATATCTGTTCCATAGATAACAAACTTGCTTTCATTTTAAACTTTTTCTTTTCTCACTGCTTCTATCTTCTTGAACTCACTGCATATCTCCTCTCACTTGTATGTCTAAACTCCTCGAAAAGGCTATCTACAATCAGTGTGTCCACTTCTCCCCCTTGACTTTCTTCTTAATTCTCTTCAATCTGGTTTCTGATTCATTCAACTGAAATTATTCTCTTCAGAGTTACTGTTAATCTCTGAATTGTGAATTGTACATGACCTTTTCTCAGTCCTAGTCCTTCTTGACCTCTCTGCAGCTTTTGATTCTGTCAGTCACCCTCTTCTGCTTGATACTCACTTCTCTCTAGGTTTTTGTGATACTGCTCTCTCAGTTCTTCTGCCTTTCTGACCACTCCTCAGTCTCCTTTGTTGATCTTCATCCAGTTTATGCCTTCTTACTATTGATATCCCCTAAAACTCTGTTCTGAACCTTTTTACTTTCTATACTATTTCATTTGGTAATCTCATCAGCTCCCATGGATTCAGTTATCATTTGTATGATGATTCTCAGATTTATATGTCTGTCCCTAATTTCTCTCCTAACCTCCAGGCTTGCATCTCTAGCTGCCTATTTGAGCATAATGAACTCAGTGTCTGATAGACATCTTAAATTCAGCCTGTTCAAAACTAAACTCTTTGTCTTCCCCCTCAAGCTCTCCCCTCTTGTGAACTTCTCTATTAATGTCAATGGGCACTACCATCCTCCCAGTTACCCGGGCTCACAAATTAGGTATCTTCTTAAACTTCTCACTCCCTCCATATCCAATCTTTTGCCAAATCCTGTAAGTTCTAAGTTCTAAAGTCTCTCCTCTGATACTGCCACTGTCTTGCTGCACACAGCCCTCATCACCTTATGCCTAGATTATTGCAATAGCAATTGGTCTCCTTGCATCAACTCTCTCTCCTACTCTACTACACCCTGCACTCAGTTATCAGATTGTTCTTCTTAAAGTTTAGATCTGACCATATCACCTCTTACCCCACTATTCCCTTTTCACCTCCAGGATCAAATCATCTATTTGGTGTTTAAAGTATTACCTGACTGTTCTTTTACTAGCTGTCCTCCATCCTGGGAATTTTGTCCCACCGCACCCTCTACCTCTTGGTCTCCCTGGTTTCCTTCAAGTCCCACTCCAAATTCCTTCTTCTACAAAAAAATCTTTCCCTGTCTCTCTTTGTGCTAGTTCCTTCTCTCTATTGATTATCTCTAATTTATCATGTATATCTTGTTTGTACATAGTTGTTTGCATATAGTCTCACCCATTAGCCTGTAAGCTCCTTGGGTACAGGGAATGTGTTTTGCCTTTCTTTATATTCCCAGTGTTTTAGCACACTGCTTGGCACATAGTATGTGAGTGGTGCTTAATAAATACTTGTTGACTTACTGTTTAGTAAGTTTTGGGGCATATTTCCAAACTACTTTCCAGATTCACTGTCCACTTCACAGCTCCACCAAGGATGTACCTGTTTCCCTTCAGCTTCTCCAACATATGTCATTTTCCTTGTTTGTCAGCTTTACCTATCTAATGGGTATAAGGTAGAACTAGACAAATTACTGGTTTTTGGAAATTGAGGTTTCTGTTTTGGTTTTGTGCCATTTTTATTTTGGAATGGGTAAGATAATGAAATCCTGTTTCTCGTAGTAGAAATATAACATGGAAAAAATTTCGTCTTAAGAGTCTTTTTTCCATATGCAAATATCTTAGTCTCCTCTTAAGTGAACTTGATGTTAAGGAAAGAGAATTTTTTAAACTAACATATAGTCATTACATTCTCTATATACCTAATGAAATTAAATGAAATAACACTTTATTTCCCTTTTTAAAGAATATCAAAGAAGATTTATTTAATTCACTTAAAAGGTAACTGTTCAAGATACAGTAATTTATGTCTTAAACATTCAAAAACTCTAACTTCTGTGTTCTGTTACTAGGAGCTTTGTCAGTGTCGACCTGGTGAAGGAAATTGTTCATGTTGTAAAGAGTGTATGCTTTGCCTGGGCACTCTTTGGGATGAATGCTGCGATTGTGTTGGTAAGTTGACATTTGGTTGTCTTATTAATATTGTCTGTATCACAATATTTTGGCTTGAAAGACAATTATAGGGTTGTTTAGTTCATATTCTTTGCTTTATAGGTAAAACTAAAAGGCTTCCTGAGTTGAGAGTGTATAATTTCACTCAATAACCTTTTCCAGTATTCAGTAATACATAAAAGTCATTCCATAAAACTTAACTCAAAACTTTCATGCTGTAATTTTTTTTTACTTTATTTGTCATAGAGATAGATAACAGATGAACTTTGGAAGATGTAATTGTTTAAATCACCAAGCATTTATTTTGAATCCTTCTCACTTCCCTTTTAAAAAAAAAAAACCAAAACCCCTCCAACAAATAAGCATGGTCAAGCAAAACAAATGCAGAGGAAAAAACAAGATTTGTTGTTGTTGTTTGTTTGTTTGTTTTCAAAAGGGATAGGTAGAAGGATTGCCAGAAAGAAAAACAAAAGAAAGAAATGAAGAAGAACATGCTGAGTGTTAGTGGCATAATGATTATTTATAGCATACCTTGTAGTGGTGGAAAGCAAAGAATATACTGATTCGTCCTCCTTAATCCTGTATATTTGGGGCCATATAAGGCAAGGAATAGTCAACTTTGGAGAAGGTGGCAAGAAATGAAGTACCTTCGGGTGAAAGTTAGGTTTCTGGGAGAGCCAGAAGATAGGCCTGTGAAAGGCAGAAATCTAGGGTGACCATTTGTTAACAATAAAGTCATTATTCAAGAGTGGAAGGAAGGGGTAAGCAGAAGGGACATAGGGACTAGAGAAGGAGGGCTGAGTTGAATAAGAATAAGAATAAATACTAGGAGAAAAAGATTTCCCTTAGGTAGACTATAATTCTTAATTATGAAGGATAGAAAAGTAGGAGGTAGAAATTTGTCAACTGTAGGGTAGGAAAGAGTGCCAAGTATGGAGAAGACCTTTTCTTATCTTCCAGGTGGAGTCCCATAAATTGTATGTGGGGGTTAGGGGGAAAGGGAGGGGAGGCAGGGAATAATTTAATCTCTCTAGGGTATAGTTTTCTCATCAGTAAACTGAGGGTGTTGGATTAGAGTAACTTTAGAAAGACTAAATTTCCATACCAAAATATTATCAACCTAAGTTTATTATCTTCCCCAGAGCTTAGCCCATTGCACATAATAAGTACTTAATATATTATATTGTTGGTGGAATTATGAACTGATCCAACCATTCTGAAGAGCAGTTTAGAACTATGCCCAAAGGGCTGTAAAACTGCATACCCTTTGACCCAGCAATAGCACTGTTAGGTCTGTATCCCAAAGACATCTAAAAAAAAAGGGAAAGGGGGCAGGTAGGTGGTGCAGTGAATAGAGCTCTGACTTTGGAGTCAGGAGGACCTGAGTTCAAATCCAGCTTCAGACACTTAACACTTACTAGCTGTGTGACCATGGGCAAGTCGCTTAACCCCAATTGCCTCACAAAAAAAAAAAAAAGGAAAAGGGTCTAATGTACAAAAAATATTTATAGTAGCTCTTTTTGTGGTGGCTGAAAATTGGAAATTGAAGGGATGCCCATAAATTTGGGAATGGCTAAACAAGCTGTGGTATGTGTTTGTAATGAAATATTATTGTATTATAAGAAATGACAAGCAGGATTGTTTCAGAAAAACCTGGAAAGACTTACATGAACTCATGCATAGTGAAGTGAACAGAACCAAGAGAACTTTAACACAGCAGCAGCAATATTATTCATTGAAGAACTGTGAATGACTTAGCTATTCTTAGCAATACAATGATCCAAGAAAATCCCAAAGGACTAATGATGAAGCATACTATCTACCTCCATTATTGATGCTGTAGGACACAGAGAACATGATTACAGGCACCTCTTAGGCAGACTGTGCTGTTCTGATTGTTGCTGCTGGTGTCGGTGAATTTGAAACTGGTATCTCTAAAATGGGCAGTCCTGTAAATATACCCTTCTGGCCTACAAACTAGATGTGAAACAACTGATTGTTGGTGTCAACAAAATGGAACCCCCTCCTACAGCCAGAAGAAATATGAGAAAATTGTTAAGGAAGTCAGTACATATAATAAAAAACTGGCTACAACCCTGACAGTAGCTTTTGTGCCAATTTCAGGTTGGAATGTTGACAACATGCTGGAGCCAAGCTTTAATATGCCTTGGTTGAAGGGATAGAAAGTCACTTAGAAGGATGGCAATTCTGATGGAACTACATTACGTGAAGCTTTAGGTTGCAGCCTGCCACCAACTCATCACCTGACAAGCCCTTGCATCTACCCTTCCAAGATGTGTACAAGATTGTTGATATTGATACTGTAAATTTTGGCCAAATGGAGACTAATGTCCTAAAACCAGACATTGTGGTCACCTTTGCCCCAGTCAGTATTACAACTGAAGTTAAAGTCTGTTGAAATGCACCATGAAACTTTGAATGAGGTTCTGCCTGGGGATAATGTTGGTTTCAGTGTCAGAAAAGTGTCTGTCAAAGATATCCACTGTGGTAATGTGTCTGCTAATAGTAAGAATGCCACCCATGGAAGCAGCTGGCTTCACTGCCCAGGTCATTATCCTGAACCATCCAGTCCAAATCAGTGCTTCCTATGCACCTATTCTGTTTTTTGCTGTTTTTTTGTTTTTGTTTTTGTTTTTAGGCAATTGGGGTTAAGTGATTTGCCCAGGGTCACACATCTAGTAAGTGTCAAGTGTTTGGTCTGAGGCCAGATTTGAACTCAGGTCCTCCTGACTTCAGGGCTGGTGCTCTATCCACTGTGCCGCCTAGCTGCCCCCCTATGCACCTGTACTAGATTGTCACACTGCTCACATTTCTTGCAAATTTGCTGGACTGAACAAGATTAATTGTTGTTCTGGTAAGAAGCTGGAAGATGGCCCTAAGCTCCTGAAATCCAATGATGCTGCCATGGTTGGCATGATTCCAGGCAAGCCCATGTGTGTGGAGAGCTTCTCTGATTATCCTTCTCAGGGTCATTTTGCTGTTGGTGATATGAGGCAGACCATTGCAGTTGGTGTCATCAAGGCAGTTGACAGGAACGCTACTGGAGCTTGCAGGATCACAAAATCTGCTCAGAAGGCTAAATGAATATTCAGTACAACACCTGCCACCCCAGTCTTAATCAGTGGTGGAAGATTGGTCTCTGAAATGTTTTCTCAATCGACCATTTAAGTTTAATAGTAAAAGACTAGTTAATGATTACAATGCATCATAAAGCTTCAAGAGGAAAGGAATGTTTTTGTAGACCTTTTGTTTCGTGGCAGTTTCAAGTTATTAGTTTTTAAAATCAGTAATTTTAAATGGAAGCAACTTGACCAAAAATTTGTCACAGAATTTTGAGACCATTAAGAAAGTTTAATATGGAGGAGGAAAAAAGATCAGCCCAGATTCCAGAGGAGCATTGATGAGGAATGTTGCCCACTTCCTGATAGAGAAGTGATAAGCTAATATACAGAATGAGAGACACATTTTTAGCCATGGTTAACACGGTCATTTATTTTGCTTGACCATACTTATTTGTTGGAGGAGTGTTTTGGTTTTTTTTTCTTTTTCTTTTTTTTTTTTGGTGAGGCTATTGGGGTTAATTGATTTGCCCAGAGTCACACAGCTAGTGAGTGTTATGTTGGGGTGTTTTTTTAAGGGAAGTGAAAAGGATTAAAAATAAATGCTCCATAATTGAAACAGTAAGATTTAATTTTAAAAGATTCTGGAAACCATATTTTTTTTAAAAATCTTGACAAGCTGGGGTATATTGAAAGTAGGAACACAGGGATGGCAAGTCCATATTTTATCTCTTGATCTAACTACATGACTAGTCTATAACCTTTTCTGGTCATACATCTCTCTAATGATAGCTTTTGTATCACTTTTTGCATATAATTTGTAATTGGTAACACTTTGGCCTATTTATGCCACCATGTATCTCTCCATTATCTTCTGGTTGATGGCATCTTGAAGATCATGAAATTCCATGATACATAGCCATGTACCAGTTGCCACTGATATAGTGGTTTATTTCTTTTAATTCTCAAAACAACCCTGAAAGGTAAGGGCTATTATTATCATCCCCATTTTATAGATGAGAGAACTGTGCCTGAGGGATTAAGTTACTTGCTGAGGGTCACAGAGAATGTCTAAGATAGGCTGTAAACCTAGGGCTTTTTGACTCCAATTCTAGTTCTGCCGCTCTAACTCCACACAGCTGCACTGCAGAAGTGATGACACAAAGATGAGGTCTAGTGGAAGAGCACATTAAGAGTGCTGCATCATTTTCCAAATGCAATAAAAAAAGATCTCTTTTTCCACACTCTTCACTGTTGCCTATGCAAGATATAGCTACGAATGAACTAATTCAATGAGCTTTTCACTAATTTTATTTTATTATTTGGTCAATATGCATTCCTCACTGACCTGGTTTTTCCTGTGTGGATTGCTAAAGCAATTTATTTTGAGTCACCACAGGTTTTATTAAGAACCCTTTTTAACAGATGAGAAAACTGAGGTACAAAGAGAATAAGTAACATGCCTAGGGTCACATAGCTAGCAGTGGTAGGGCTACTTGAACCCATGTCTTGTGATTAAATCTAGCTCTACTTACTGCAATCACCTTTTTTTTAAAAATTATATTATGTTATGGAAATGCTTGTTTTATTCCATAAATTAAAAATAAAATAAATTTTAAAAAATAACATCTAGCATTTATACGGTGCTTAAAGGTTTGTAATGCGCTTAACAAATATCTCATTTTATCTTCACAATAACCCTGGCAGGGAGGTGCAATTATTAGCCCAATTTTACAGATAAGAAAACTGAGACAGAGAACGTTTAAATGATTTGCCCAGGATCACACAGACCAGATTTGAACTCAGGTCTTCCTGACTCCAAGTCCAGCACTCTATTAATTATAACACTTAGTTGCCTCTATTACACTTTTATACTATTATTTATCCTGACAATCCTACTTATCTGATAGTAGAAGCACA